AAGAGCATAATACCTGGAATGGCCTACCCCTTTAGGGCGACCTCGACCTCCCCGACCTCCACCTCGAGATGGCTAAGCAGGTGGGCCGATAGCTGGTGCTGGAATCATAGCCTGAGGACCCGGTGGAGCACGTGGTGGCTGAGAAGTCTGTGGAGGTGAACCCCTCATAAGTATGGGACAATCCCTTACCATATGGCGAGTGTCGCCACACTCAAAACAACCCATCAGAGGGCGTGGCTATTGTGAGTGACTCGGGCTAGGTCTGCTGAACTGGCCGCTAAAAGCATCCCGAGCATGAGGCACACTAGATACTGGCGGTGCATAATAAGGCTCCTAAGGTCTAGAACGGGCTGGAACACCACTGGCAGCTGGAAGAGTTGAATGAACGGGGCGACTCACATAACCCCCTACCATGGCGAGCTGCTGGGGCACGAACTCCAAAATAATAACCAGTCTCTCAAGACCTCTTGGCCTCCCTCTCTTCTCTGTCCCTAGCAAGCATGCCCTCCAATCTCCTAGCAATGCTCACAACCTGCTGATAAGAGATATCCATCTCCAACTCCCTGGCCATACTAATCCTGATGCTGAGGTGGAGTCCCTCAATAAAGCGACGAACCCTCTCCCGAACTGTAGCAACCAAGGCCGATGCAGATCAGGCCTAATTACTGAAACGGACTGCATACTCTGACACAATCATAGAACCCTGGCACAACTACTCAAACTCAAAGCGCCATGCATCCCTGAGGCTCTGAGGGACATACTCTCTCAAAAACATATCCGAGAACTGAGTCCATGTGAGTGAGGCTGCCTCATCTGGACTACTCAACTCATAAGTACGGCACCACTGATAGGTTGCTTATCTAAGCTGGAAAATGGTAAAAGAAACCTCATTCGTCTCCGCTACGCCCATAGTACGGAGAATACGATGACACTCCTCCAGAAAACCCTGAGCATCATTTGTAGCCAATCCGCTGAAGGTAGATGGGTGGTACTTCTTGTACCTTTCAAGTCTGAGCTACTCCACCTCAGAAGCGGCTGTCCTGGTTTCATGCTGAACAGGAGCTACCGGCTGCATAGGAATGAACTCTGGGCCTCATCAACCTAGACCCTCTACCCAGGAGTACGGGCTGCAGGAGTTTGTGCCCCTCCCCCGGCCTGAGATGTGGATGGAGCTAGTGGAATCAGTCCAGCCTGAGCTAAGGTGCTGAACATCCTCATGAACTGGGCTAGAGTCTCTTGGAGGGTTGGTACAATAATAAGAACCTCTAGTGCCTGCCCTCCAACTGGAGTTGATGGGGGCTCCTCTGTCGTAGCTCACGCGGATGCTCTGGCTGCACCGCGTGGTCGTCCTCTACCCCGACCCCGGCCTCTGGCGGCTTTAGCAGGGGGCACGGGTGCCTGGTCGTCATATCTCTCGGTACAGGTCCTCACCATTTGTGAGAAAGAATAGAAAAGAGAATTTTAGAATTTGATGCCAATAACTCGCACGACAAGGAATCAAAAGAAGTATGATTGTTCCTACAGTTCCATAGCCTCCAGAAGATAAGTACAAACGTCTCCGTACAGATCCGCGAGACTCTAATAAATCGGATTATGACTCACGACACCTATGAACCTAGAGCTCTAATACCAACTTGTCATAACCCAAATTCTTCCTCCGTGAATTGTTGTGATGATACCTAGTCTCTACGACTAGGTAAGCCTAACACTTTACGGAAATGAAATGAAAACATGAAAATTAACAACTAATAGTAGCAGATAATCTATATAAGCAATTGAGATGCCCCTCGGCATATACAATAGTCAACTCTCGGAATATACATAACACACCCAAGACCCGGAATACTGTAAATCACAAGTTTCTACGAGATTCTAACTGTTCTATACATCACTGTCTATAGAAATAAGGGAAGAATAAACATAGGGGAATAGAGGGGGACTCCAAGGATCTGTTGGCGCATGCAGATGTACCTTGAAGTCTCCGAAAATAGCAGTGACTACAACTAAGGACGAGGCTAGTAGGAGGAACCTGGATCTTCATACGAAAAATATGTGCAGGAAAGGGCATGAGTACACCACAACGGTACCCAGTAAGTGCCAAGCCTAACCTCGGTCGAGTAGTGACGAGGTCAGTTCAGGGCCCTACTGGTATATATAGATATATAATAAAAACAAGGCAGAATGAAATATCGCAATACAATAAAGACAGAAATTTAACAAGAATGAAAACATAGAAATGTAACACCTTAGTACACAGAAATAACAACATGGGGTCTCCCGAGATACCGTCTCGTAGTCCCAAACGTAAATGTGCAGGGAGATCTCCCGGAATACTGTTCCGTAGTCCCAAAGTAAATATGCAAGACATGAGAATCTCCCGGAATACCGTTCTGTAGTCCCAAAAGTAAATATGTAGGGGGATCTCCCTGAATACCGTTCCGTAGTCCCAAAAGTAAATATACAACTCAAACAATAGAATTCAACAGCTACAACACGAGATCCTATAATTTAAACTAATTACAAGACAAGGAAAAAAAGGAAATTTACTAGACATGCTGCGCAGAGTTCAAATAAACAATTAAGGCAAGTAGTCATGTTGTTCTAATCTAACAAGATACTACACATGCTGATATGACTCAAATAAGAAGGAAAACAGGTTATTACTTAACAGAAATGGGGTTTTTACAACAATTAGCCCATGTACGTACTCGTCACCTCACGTACACGGCGCTCACATATCAAAATAGTACTAAATCCTAAGGGGAGTTCCCCCACACAAGGTTAGGCAAGCCACTTACCTCGAACCAAGCTCAATCAATCCGTAACAATGCTCTTTCCACGGATATCCAACTCCGAATGGCCAAATCTAGCCAAAATCAATTACATAACATAAATATAACTACAAGGAAGTAAACTAGCTAATGAAATCAAAGCTAAAGCAAGGGATTGGAAAATCGCCCTAAAAAGCCTTCCCGGGCCCATGTCTCAGAATCGGGTAAAAGTCACAAAATATGAACACCCATTCACTCATGAGTTCACTCATACCAAAATTACTCAAATCTGATACCAAAATCTCGATCAAAATCCCAAAATTCGGCCTAATAACTTTTCTCAACTTTTTCCCAAATTTTCAACCCCAAATCCGAAATTAAATTAAGAAAATAACTATAGATTAATGGAATACAACCAAAAGTGAGTTAGGAATCATAACCCCAAACCTTCCTCTGAAAATCTCTCGAAAAATCGATAAATTCCGAGCTCCCAAGTCCAAAAATGAAGAATGAAATCAAACCCTCGCACTTAGCCTTTTTTTCTGCCAGTCAAACTTCAACCGCATCTGCGGTTCCGCACATGCGGAAATTCCTTCGCAGGTGCGGTTTTCACTTAAAACTCATCGCCCGCTTCTGCGATTAAAAGGCCGTACATGCGTGTGCGCACCTGCGGACCTATGTCCGCTTCTGCGGTCCTCCATCGCTCTTGTGATCTCTCCAGCGCATCTGCGGGCATCGCAGATACGGAACTCACCTCGCATCTGCGACCCCTGACCACTCCCTCCAAATCTGTTTCTGCACTTAATCATCCGCACGTGCGGCCCCCGCACCTGTGTTTCCCCCACTGCAGGTGCGAAACACCAGAAACCAGCAAACTTAAGAAATTTTCTAAGTCCAATATGTCCTTCGTTAAGCATTCGAAACACATCCGAGGCCCTCGGGACCTCAACTAAACATAACAACCAATCCTAAAACACCATACTAACTTAGTCGAGCCCTCAAACCACATCAAATAACGCTAAAATCACGAATCATCCTCCGATTCAAACTTAAAGAACTTGAAACTTCCAAATTCGACAACCGATGCCGAAACCAACTAAACCACGTTCGATTGACCCCAAATTTTGTACACAAGTCGTATTCAACCCTACGGACCTACTCCAACTTCCGGAATCAGAATTAGACCCTGTATCAAATATTCCACTCCTGGTCAAAATCTCCAAAATTTTGACTTTCGCCATTTCAAGCCTAAATGAGTTACAGACCTCCAAAACACAATCCGGAAACGTCCCTAAGTCCAAAATCACCTAACGGAACTAACAGAACCGACGAAACTCCATTCCGGAGTTGTCTTCACACAGTTCCGACTGCGGTCTAAATTCTAAGGTTTAAGCTCTCGTTTAGGGATTAAGTGTCCCAAAATACTCCAAAAACCAAAACGAAACCTCCCGATAAGTCACAATAGTAGAAAAAGATACGGGGGAAGCAGTTAATATGGGATCGGGGCTATAACTCTCAAAACGACCGGTCAGGTCGTCACAACTATCCTCCTTTTAATATAATATAGATATTTCTAGCTAATATAGAAGAAAATCTATGAGTAGATATATATATATATATATATATTAGATTTGTCTAAGATCTATTTAGATTATGTATAAGATTCATTAAACTATTTCCATTAATTATGTTTTTATTTATAATTTGTAATTTATAATTATTGGTGTATACTACCCTCCTTTTAATAGAATATAGATTTCTAATTATTAATATTATCCTAAAGTTGCCAAGTGGCTTCATTTTAGCTTGCCATTTGGCTTAACCACGATGCATACTACCCTCTTTTAATATAATAAGATATAGAAGATATAGATTTTGTATCATCTCCTATATTTTTTGCACGTTGTATTGTGTTATGTATAATAATTACTAAGTTATTGAAGCATACGACTTCTAATCTACTTAAGGTCGAAAGAACATAACTTTTAACAAGATTTAATATAAAAAAAAAATATGCATCATATACCTTTATTTTATTTTTTCCCCTAATTCAGGCTCTATTTGAATTAAAGTTTGTTATCTTAATTCAAAATCCACCTTTATCGCCACAAGAAAAAAGGAAGTAAATCATCAAAAGTCACTGCTTTTGATCGTTTCACTCCAACGGTCAAAACAAGGCAGCATTCAAATACCAAAACCCCTATTCCGAAAGTTCAAAAGTAGCCGTTACAAAAGATTTACAGCATCTTCATAGAATCAAACACCCACAAGATATCCTCTCTAAAAAAATTCACTTTCCTTTCTCAATTCACTACCCTATTTCATTTCCTTATCTATTTTCTGCAAACGATTCTCTTACCTTTCTTGGTATAGTCCATCAATGGCGGGTTCTTCTAACAGATCTCCTTCTCCACTTTCTGCAAAACCCATTCCTCCTCATCCAAGAACCTCTGAAAACACCAATTCTACAGCAAGGAGAAGTTTTAACGGCAACCCTTTTTCACGACCTTCAGTTCTTTCAACCCACAGAGGATTCAACCCCGTTACACCTGCCAATAGCCCTGCTGGTAATTTCTCCTTCCTCCACTTCAATTTCTTTATTTGAAATGTCAATAATATGTTGCAATATTTCTTGATTTGATTAATCACTTTGCTGTATTTTTCTTGTTTTTTGTTGTTGTTGTTGTTGTAGATTCTGCTAAAAGGGTGTCTAATTTAGGGAAAGAAGGGGGTTTTGAAGAGAAAGAGAATGAGTTGAAATCAGCGAAACTGAGGTCACCGGCGGCAAAGGGTTCAAAGAATTTTATGTCTCCAACAATTTCAGCCTCTTCCAAGATTGCTTCATCCCCTAAAAAGAAAATCTTGGTGGAAAGAAATGACCCTCTTAGAACTTCAATTTCCTTATCTGACGGTAAAGCTACATTTTTTAATGCATCTTCCGAAAATTATGATGTGGGTTTTGAACAGAGCAACAGTACTGTAAAATCTATGAAAAAAACTGAAATTTTATTGGACCCTAAGGAGGAGAACGTTCTTGTTGAAGAACAAGGTCTACCTCCAGTTAACAAAATCCCTAAAAAGGTAACATTTTTGGAAGTACCTTTACCCTCTGAATTCATTTCTGATACTGTAACCATGGATTCTGATATTTGCAATGATGAGCCAATACTGGTTTCTACTTTAATAGCCCCACTTGATGCTGATCCCTCTCTACCTCCATATGACCCTAAAACCAATTACCTCTCCCCCAGGCCTCAGTTTCTTCACTACAAACCCAACCCAAGAATTGAGGTTTTACTCAATAAGGAAAAAGGATTGGATGTAGTAGGAGGAGCAAAGAGTCTAGATGACAGCTTCTTGTCTGAGTTATTACTGTCTGATAACATTTCAGACACAGAGGACAGTGAAAGTTCTCAAACTGCTGAAGAATCGCCGAAAGAATCTGATGGTTCTTCTTCAGAAGAGATGTTACTTGAAGCAGCAGTTGATCAAAAAGAGGAAGAGGAACCTAAAATTCCTGAACCTGCTTCTCAAACTGCTGAAGAATCGCCGAAAGAATCTGATGGTTCTTCTTCAGAAGAGATGTTACTTGAAGCAGCAGTTGATCAAGAAGAGGAAGAGGAACCCAAAATTCCTGAACCTGCTGCTGAGGAAATTGCAGAAGCAAAAATGAGAACAAAGCCAAGATCTTCAGTAATATCAAAGTTTTTTTCTCTGCTGTTGGTACTATTGATTGCTTTAGTATTGATCTCAGTTACTGATTCTCCCTTACTTACTACTACTCCTGGGTCCATAGACTTAAGATTTTCTAATCTGAGTATTCCATCAGACATTCCAGTGTTGGTGAAGGCTAATAGTTACTTTAAGCAATTCTCTGGTGAAGCCATTTCTTACTTCTCAAAGTTGATTTATGACCTTGGTAGCATTCCATCAGATATTCCAGTGCATCCTTTAAAATTCATGAACTTGACTGATGTACAAGATAGTAGCATAGATTACTGGTATTTGAAAGGGAGTACTGGTTCGGTGGAGTTGGATAAAGGGTTTGAACTTGCTGAATTGGATGAGGATGAAGAGTCTGAAACTGAGCCCAAAGAGGAAGAAGTTCAAAAGGAAGCTGATTTTGATGATGATGGCAATGAAGAGGAAGTTGAAGGAGCCCATAAGTTGGAGATTGGAGAAGCTTCAGCAATTAAATTAGATGAGGAAAATGAGGCTGATAGCTCAGAAAATGATCAAGAACAAGGACAACATGACTTGGATACCGAAGAAGTTTCTGTTGTCCTAGTAGCTGAGGGGAATGAGTCTATTAGTTCAGAAAGGGATCTAGACCAAGGGGAGCATGAGTTGGCTGAAACCGAATCTTTCAATGTTGATAATGATGCCAGTTCTGATGTTGTAGTTGAGTCAGTGAACGACAACCCTGAAAGCTTAGTGAAAGATGATTCTTCTGTTGAAACGGTGCACTCTCCAATTGATGATAGACTTGGAGACAATGTTGGAGCATATCAGATCCTTGGGATTTCCTCAGTTATCCTTTCTGTGCTAGCTGCTATAGTTATCTATTTGAAGACGAAAAACGATAAGACTCTGCAGTCAGTAGTCTATTCTGATCATATTGTCAAAGAGAAACATTCCTCTCAAAACTGGCCAACGGAGGTTGACGTCATGGGAGAGTCTTGTCCCTCAGAAATGAGCAGCTTTCAGATAAGTTCATCTTATAGTAAGAAATATCCCAAATCAGCAAATGATGAAGCTCAAAGCATGGAGAAGAAACCAAGAAAGAGTAATAGGAGAGAGTCATTGGCTGCGTCTGAGTATTCGTTGGGTTCACCTTCTTATGGAAGTTTCACTACTTATGAGAGGATTCCTATCAAGCATGTGAGTACTGACTAGTACATTACCTACCAAATCTATTTTTTTCTGTACTACTTTGAACACTTTCTGATTTTTTCATTGTGAAATTTTAGGCAAGTGTAGGGGAAGAAGTCATCACCCCTGTAAGGCGCTCAAGCAGAATTAGAAGCCATGTCACCCCTCCTTGATTCTGAAGATGGTTGCGTGTGTGCTAGAGCAGAAACCAGAGAAGTCACGTCACTTATGCATGTCACTGAAGGAAATTGTTTTTTTGGCTTCTCAGCAAGTCAATCCTAGGCATAGTCATTCCTTAACTATACCTTATGACTTAACTGAAGTGATTCAAGTGTGGTTTTTAGGATTTTAATGTTTAGTTAGCTGATGTTTTTTATCTTGTTAGCGGAACTTTCTACATGCTGCCTCAGTCAGTTGAAGTTTCTTTTATTAGTTGAGGATTTCCTGTAGCTTGTGCATAGATAGCGCTTTGTTTGACCTTGCTTCTATAAATTTTAGGATGATCTGATTGTTGGCTTCATTTCTTGAATGTTATTCATTGGAGTAACTTCTTACACATCGTTTGCCGTTGCTTCATCTTTTACTCTTCCTTTCTTCGCTCAACCTTTTGGTGGTACATTGATTTACCTTTAAAATCTGAAGTTTTGTGAAAATATGCATCTCTTGGCTTAGTTTTAAAATTAATTTGCAAGACATAGCAGCATTTTGTTGATAATAGAATGAATCATTTTAGCTAAACTCTGCTGAATGTTCCGTACATAGATTGAGTTTGCTGCTAAAACTGCAAGCTGTACTGAACAATACACTTGCAATTCAAGTCATAGCTCCAGCCTCTCAATCACACAATGTCTCGCGTATAGTCGAGGAGAAGAAACCATGCTAAAGTTCTAAAACTAGCCATTGGCCTTAACATTCCTTTGAATAAATTATACTGTCAATTGCAGAACATGTAGTCATCTTACTGCCAATTGATAGTACATCATGGGCCTTTATGTCACGACCCGAAATTCCCACATTCGGAACCGTGATGGCGCCTAACATTTCACTTGCTAGGCAAGCCAATGTTAGAATATAATTAGTCATTTTAACAAAATTTTAAATTAATTAATACCAAGGAAACAAATGCGGAAATAATGTCTGAAATAATCCATAATAATCGCGATATCTAATTACCATCCCAAAACTTGAGTCACAAGTGCACGAGCTTCTAGAATGATACAAATAAGGTCTAAACAAAATAAAGCTGTCTGAAAGCAAGCACACAACTAAAGTAAAGTAGACGAGGACTTCAGAACTGCGGACGTTGTGCAGTTATACCTCAAGTCTCCTCTGAGTAGCTCTAATCCGAGCAAATCTATGGTACGCCACTAGGACCAACTCCGAAATCTGCACAAGAAGTTCAGAGTGTAGTATCAGTACAACCGACCCCATGTACTGGTAAGTGCCGAGCCTAACCTCGACGAATTAGTGACGAGGCTAAGGCGGGTCACTTACATTTAACTTGTAGTAATAACAACAATAATAATAACGGGAATATTAGTAAGACCAGTAAATAATATTAATAATTGAAATCAACTCAGCAATCACAATCCCTCAACTTGTTTCTATTGCGGCGGGCAACCCGTTCCCCTAATATAACTTTTAAATAATTCTGTTTCTCACCAAATTCGACAAACAAGTCAAATGACATAACGGACCTATGAAAATTTTAAGAACTCGAATCCGACATCGATATCAATAAAAGTCAATTTGTAGTCAAACTTTGAAATCTTTAAGCCTTTAGGTTTCTAGTTTTTGCCAACTGGCGATAATTCAAGCTAGGAACCTCCAAATTAAATTCCGGGCATACGCCCAAGTCCCAAATAACGATACGGACTTACCGGAACTATCAAAACACTGATCTGAGTCTGTTTGTTCAAAATGTTGACCAAAGTCAACTCAATTGGGTTTTAAGGCTCTATTTCACATTTTAATCAATTTTTCATATAAAAACTTTCCGAAAAATTATACGGACTGCGCATGCAAGTCGAGGAATGATAAACAGTACTTTTTCGAGGTCTTAGAATACATAATTAATTATTAAATTTAAAGATGACCTTTTGGGTCATCACATTCTCCACCTCTAAAACAAACGTTCGTCCTCGAACGGAATTAGAAAAGTACCTGAGTTGGTGAAAAGGTGTGGATATTCACTCTGCATGTCCAACTCGGACTCCCAGGTAGATGCTTCTACTGGCTAACCTCTCCATTATACCCGAACTGAAGGATAACTCTTAGACCTCAACTGTCGGACCTGCCGGGCTAGAATAGCTATTGGCTCCTCTTCATAAGTCAAATCTTTGTCCAATTGGACTAAGCTGAAATCTAACACATGGGGCGGATCACCATGATATTTTCGGAGCATAGACACATGGAACACCGGATGAACCGCTGATAAACTAGGTGGTAGTGCAAGCATGTAGGCTACTTCACCCACCCTTTCAAGAATTTCATAGGGTCCAATATACCTAGGGCTCAACTTGTCCTTCTTTCCGAACCTCATTACACCTTTCATAGGTGAAACCCGGAGCAATATTCTTTCTCCAACCATGAAAGCAATATTACGAACCTTACGGTCGGCATAACTCTTTTGCCTAGACTGAGATGTGCGAAGTCGATCCTAAATAACTTTGACTTTATCCAAGGCATCCTGTACCAAATTGGTACCCAACAACCGAGCCTCTCCCAATTTAAACCAACCAACTGGCGAACGACATCACCTTCCGTATAATGCCTCATATGGAGCCATCTGAATGCTTGACTGGTAGTTATTATTATAAGCAAACTCCACAAGTGGCAAGAACTGAGCCCAAGAACCTCCAAAGTCTATAACACAAGCGCGAAACATATCTTCCAATATCTGAATAGTGCGCTCTGACAGTCCGTCTGTCTGTGGATGAAATGTTGTACTCAACTCAACCCGCGTGCTTAATTCACATTGTACAACCCTCCAGAAGTGTGAGGTAAACTGCGTACCTCGATCTGAAATAATAGACACAGGCACACCGTGAAGGCGGAGAATCTCACGAATGTAAATTTCAGCTAACAGCTATGAAGAATAGGTAACTGCCACTGGAATGAAATGTGCTAACTTGGTCAACCTGTCCACAATGACCCAAAGTGCGTCGAATTTTCTCTAAGTCCATGGAAGCCCAACAACAAAATCCATAGTGATACGCTCCCACTTCCACTCAGGAATTTCTAACTTCTGAAGCAAACCACCAAGTCTCTCATGCTCGTACTTAACTTGTTGACAATTCAAATACCGAGCTACAAATGCAACTATATCCTTCTTCATTCTCCTCCACCAATAATGTTGCCGCAAATTTTGATACATTTTGGCGGCACCTGGATGAATAGAATACCTGGAACTGTGAGCCTCTTCCAGAATTAATTCACGAAGCCCATCCACATTAGGCACACAAACACGACCCTGCATTTGCAGAACTCCATCTTCCCCCACATCAACCTGTTTGGCATCACTGTGTTGTACCGTGTCCCTAAGGACAAGTAAATGAGGATCATCATACTGCCGCTCTCTGATGTGCTCATATAAAGAAGATCGAGCGACGGTGCAAGCTAGAACCCGACTGGATTCCGAAACATCTAACATCACGAATTGATTAGCCAAAGTCTGAACATCTGCAGCTAACGGTCTCTTACCAATAGGAATATACACAAGACTGTCCATACTCACAGCCTTTATACTCAAAGCATCAACCACCACATTAGCCTTTCTGGGGTGATACAAAATAATGATATCATAGTCTTTCAACAACTCCAACTATCTTCTCTGCCTCAAATTGAGATCCTTTTGTTTGAACAGATACTGAAGGCTACGATGATTAGTAAATACCTCACACGAGACACCGTAGAGGTAATGCCTCCAAATCTTCAGCGCGTGAACAATGGTTACCAATTCTAAGTCATGAACAAGATAATTCTTCTCGTGAACTTTCAACTGCCGCGATGCATATGCAATCACCTTTCCATCTTGCATCAATACTGCACCAAGTCCAACGCGAGATGCATCACAATACACCGTATAAGATCTTGAACATGTGGGTAATACCAACACCGGCGTCGTAGTCAAAGCAGTCTTGAGCTTCTGAAAACTCAACTCACACTCGTCTGACCATCTGAATGGGACACCTTTCTGGGTCAGTCTGGTCAATGGGCTTGCTATAGATGAAAACCCCTCCACGAACCAACGATAATAACTTGCCAAACCCAGGAAACTTCGGATCTCTGTAACTGAAGTAGGTCTAGGCTAATTCTGAACATCCTCAATCTTCTTAGGATCAACTTTTATGCTTTTTGCCGATACAACATGCCCCAAAAAAGGCAACTGAGTCTAACCAATTAAAAATTTGGCATATAACTGATTATTTTTCAAAGTCTAGAGCACACTCCGAAGATGATGTTCATGTTCTTCTCGACTGTTGGAGTAAATCAATATATCATCGATGAATAAAACCACAAAAGAATCCAAATAGGGCTTGAACACCCGATTCATCAAATCCATAAATGTTGCTGGGGCATTTGTCAACCCAAATGACATCACTAGGAATTCGCAATGCCCATACCGAGTCTGAAAAGTTGTGTTACGGACATTAGATGACCTAATCTTCAACTGATGGTAACCAGACCTCAAATCGATTTTCAAAAATAACTTGGCACTCTGAAGCTGATCAAATAAGTCATCAATTGTTGGCAGCAGATATTTGTTTTTGATAGCGACCTTGTTCAATTGCCGATAATCTATACATATCCGCATAGAGCCATCTTTCTTCTTTACAAATAGTATTGGTGTATCCCAGGGCGAGACACTGGGTCTAATGAATCCCTGATTAAGCAAGTCTTGTAACTGCTCCTTCAATTCTTTCAACTCCAGCGGGGCCATACGGTATGGTGGAATAGAAATGGGCTGAGTGCCCGGAGCCAAATCAATACAGAAGTCAATATCTCTGTCGGGTGGCATCCCCAGCAAATCTGCAGGAAATACTTCTGGAAATTCACAAACAACTGGTACTGAATCCATAGAAGGAACATCCGCACTGGGATCGTGAATATAAGCCAAATAGGCTAGACACCCTTTCTCGACCATACATCGAGCTTTCATATAAGAAATAACCATGTTGGTAGAATGACCATGAGTTCCTTTCTACTCTAACCGAGGTAACCCCGACATGGCTAGGGTCATTGTCTTGGCATGACAATCCAATATAGCATGATAAGGTGACAACCAATCCATACCAAAGATGACATCAAAATTTACCATATCAAGAAGTAGAAGATCCACACTAGTCTCAAGACTACCAATAGCAACCACACACGAACGATAGACATGATCTACTACAACAGAGTCTCCCACGGTGTAGATACACACACAGAAGCACTCAGAGAATCACAAGGCACAACCAAATATGAAGCAAAATAGGAGGACACATAGGAATAAGTAGATCCTGGATAAAATAGAAC